CATCGCTTTAAAAATAGGTTAGGTTAGGTTAGTTGAGTTGTCATTTATTGAAATAAAATATAATAACTTTCAAGTATATGTCATTTATCCACACACATTAACCTAACCTAACCTATTTTTAAAGCGATGCGTCCCGATAACCCACAAGTACCAAAGTGTGTTATTATTATATGCAGTACACTTTATCTTAATTTTAATTTATTGTTTGCATATCGTATAACTGTTAATTGATATTTTTCCTTTCAGTGCCTTGCATTGGAAAACTATCAAGGAGCTGCAAAGTTGGCAGCATTGGATAGACATTACCACCTTGCTTTATCCTATCAGTTGAAAGCATTAACATTGGCTACTCTTGAATTTGGCTTTGATCCAGAAAAACATCATGAAAATCCGTGTACAAACTTCAGCAGAGAAACAGATGAAAAACACTTGAATTCCAAGAAGACAGAAAGTTCGAGTGAGACAGCAAACAGAGGGTTGTCTCCAGACCATTCAGAAGAAGATAAAATAAGAAATACAAATTTCCCACAGAATTCAAATATGGTTAATGAAGCTGAAAACAGAAATCCAACTTCCTTAATAGTAAAGCGTTTAAAAGCTCGTGTTACAAATGTGAATTCGAGCTGTATACATGTCGAGAATGGTTCAGGTAACAGTAAAACTGAGGTTACTGAAAGTATTGTAACGGATAGTAACTTGGTTAACAAAGTCGTTGTCAGTACTGAAGCTTACGTTAATATGAACAGCAGCGTTGAAGATACAGCTCAGTGCGATGACAAGGAGGATACCACTTTGAATGAAATAAAAAGGGACTGTTCAGTTTCAGACACTACTAATCATGAAGATAATATAATTAACATTGAAGATAAGTCAAATTTGATTACACCTCAAAATAGGAACTACAAAACAGAAATAGTTACAGAATCTGACACTGAAAACAAAAATTGGAGGAATTCCAAACTTGATTTGTTGTATGAGTCAGAGGATATATCAGAAACAAACCAAGTCACAGAAGACACTGATACTATTAAAAAAAAGTCTATAGTGGGATTTTCAGGTGAGATTTGTGTCCAGTTAAATGAAGATTTAAAATCAGATTCAAAATTGCCTTTGATACGGTCAAGTACAGACAAAACAAAACCTGAAACTGAAATAGAAGAAAGTGTGAAACTTGACGATTCAAATGAGGAAGTAGACTTTATGGTAAATCCATCTGATGACTTAAGAAGTAAAACCCAAGTGTTCCCAATAGAAGAAGAGGGTGAGACAAGTAGTTCCATTTCTACCCCTGAAAGTTTAATTTCAACAAATGTTAATGACAGTGAAATGCACGCGTTTGCCGTTCAGGGAGGAACGGAACAGATGTCAGAGGGTCATCATTTAACAAGTCCAGACTCCGGCACGTCATTAGTAAGCAAAGAGCGATGTCCTATGAGCTCTAAATTCTTTATTTCCGAAGTATATGAACAGAGTTCACACGATGCAGATGTAAACTTAATTTGCACAGATGAAAACAGAGATTTTGAAAATCCAGTTGCCGCGTGTACTGATGTTGACAAAGAAAAGAACTTTGAACAACAAAATGAAGATCCTGATAAATGTGAAACAGAACTAATTGGTGATTTACCTCCGTTGTTAAATAGTGACAAATCGATGGGAGATTCTGAATCATTCAGTGTAATTCAACAGAAAAATGTACTTATGGAATCAGAATTGAATTCAAGATTTCTTAATGATGTAGGAGAACCCCAGAGCAGTTTTGACACATCTACTCTGTCAGTAGAGAGTAACATATCTGGAGTAAAAGAGGAAGTTGGCGTAAAAACTGAAGATGAGATGAAACACAAGACTGATAATGGCACACATGAATTCCAAAACAACGGCATACGTGATCAAAAAAGTACGTCAGAATGTAAATCTTCTAAAAATTTAAATGAAACAATTGGAAAAATAGACAATTTAAAACAAGAACTTACATCTAGCGATCCGAATACAATTTTTTTTAACAGTGAGACTTGCAGTAAGGTTGTGGAATCGGACTGTACTAAATATGAGCATACGGCGGACCTGAGTTTAAAATCACTGAACTTTAAGGAGGAAACGGGTGACTCTGTTACGGAAGAAAAGTTGACTGCTCGCATTAAACAACCATCTGTAAATTTAAGCACTTGCTTGGATTCATCGTCATTATCAAGTACCAAAAATCAAGTTGTTATAGTGCCAGATGTGGTCATTGAAACTTTTGTGGAGCCGGCAGTGGGAGAATTAGAGAGAAACTGCAGAGACATTGAGAATAGTACAAAACAGTTATGTTCTGATACAGTAGATTTGGAAAACTATGAGAACGAATTGAAACTTTCATCTGGTGACAAGGATTCTCTCATAACAGATGTGGCACCAGAAAATGGAGTTTCCGGTAAATCAAAAAAGGTAGTCAGAGTTAAAGTTTTTGATAACGCATTCTCCGAAAATATTAAATCTGCTCAGACTGACTTGATATCTCAGAGTGAACCGAGTGAGAATGGACCATCAAAAATAAATTGTGGAAACGGCACGCAGCAAGTAAAAAGTACAGATGAGAACGGTGCAACGAAGGAAGTAACTGGGAACACTGCATGCGTGGACTTGGTAGGTCAGGCCGCGTCTGTTGTCGAGTATTACGTCTCTATGATGGAAGAAGACAGCCATGCTATGATGAGCAGACTGCTGGAGCAGGTACGTTCAGCATAAACCACCTGGCAATTATATATATTTGTATGTACGAGTGTCATTCAGAAATGATTGGGACTCACCTTGATTCATCATTGTTAGGGAGTCAGCAGCTACATGGTGGCTCACGTCATCAGAAAATGCAGCGGCAGTGCTAAGGCAAAAGGGCACAGAAGTGTTGGTATTGCACGACCCATCAAACAACAGAGACGGTTTTCTTAGCATTGTCTGTGAATCAGTACGTACTGTCGCAAAGACTGGCTTGCTGTATGCACCAGGATGTTGCCGGAGTGATGGCAGTAGTGCGTTGACGTTAGTTGGAATATATTCAGTATGATGAAGTGTGATTCTGCGACTGTCGTCATCTCTCGGTCTGTATTCTTGGCGAGTTCTAATGGTTTCTGAGTGACCGTACAAGTTTATCCTGATTCGCACAGTAATTGTATTCGTAGAAAATTCCGTGTGATGCACAAACTATATAATATTTAATTTTTAATTGTCTGAGCATAAGCTACAGAGTTCAGTAAGCACAGTAAGAAAAATTTGGTTGTTGCAAACCTTTTATTATCATTTATGTAAAAACATGACTTTTATAATAATTCTCTTTTTTTTGTGGACAGGGAATTGAGTTTTGGTTGAGCCATTCCTTACCAGTGGATCACCTTGAGAACCTTCTTCTGAAACACATGTCAAAATTCTTCTACCCTCTCGGATTGCTTCTGTTCTGTAAGGATGGTAACACTGGGGAAGAGAAGGTTGAAACCCAGAAACAAGCTGTATCTATGCTGAACCATCTCTCCACTCGCTTTTGTCTTCAGCTATGTTCCAGCCTTCTGAACCACATCAATCAAAGTAAGTCATATTTTGTAATACTAGATGAAAAAGTAGTGTTAGATTCGTTAGCATTGTTCCGTTAACAAATGAACTGCCCAAAGGGTAATCCGATTTTATGAACGAGAGTTTGTGTCTGAATAAAAATGACAAAATATTCCGTCAGGATATCGGGCCTCTGAACTGATAAGAAGACTCATCAATTAGAAGACGCGATGGATAAAAGTTATTCGGAAATATTTGGCCTCACAGATTTAGTTTATTCTCATTTGATGTTATAAATGAAGGATCACAATATATAAATACCTTTCTTGTCTGTCTATTTGAAACTGAAGGGCATCTAAATAATATTTAAGAATTTTAGTCTGTACCTCAAAGAAAACGCCACACTTCACCATCACAAAAATCAACTGGTTTATACTTTAAGGAAATAATCCCTTTTTACACTGAAAATCATACAATACTAATACATACAAAACCCACAGTTACTGATGGTTAAAACAGGTGGTACATATAGTTACCGCTGGGCTTTTAAGCGTTAATTTGTTATTAGGAAAGGCCTATCCAGAATACATCGAAGTTCTTGCACAAGTTACTTCGATGCAAGCAGCACCGTCGTTGAATGGGTGTTGTGTTACGAGCCAAGGACTCTCGCAGTCGCCGGAGCAACTTATGGAAGCCATACTTGAAGGGCTAGGTACAACCAAGGAACTCGGAGGATCCTTGGGACAAACTTACATCAACCTTCAAGAAGAGGTACATGGGAACAAACAATATTTGAATGTAATTTAATGTAAAGTATTTGTTTCATTTCTGTGTTGGATTTATCGGAGAGTGATTTAATGTTTAAATAAATTATCTCATAGAGAAATATTAAAATATAAATTTCACTTCGGTAGATGAAAAAAGGCAGTAAGAATATTTTGAGAGTAATTCATATTCAGAGTTTTTTTTGGACTTTGTCCATTGTCCTATATTCTACAGACAGATCACTATGTTTTGAAAGCTGGATTTATTTCCATCTTCAGGTAACACCTGCTCGAGTCTGCTAAAGAGCGCTAGTCCTAAAGATGGGACTGTTTTCGCTTCTGAAATGTCGTCGTCTGTCTGTAGAATGTAGGAATAATGGACAAATTTCACAAAAACTGTCCAATACTAACTGTAAGTTTCGAAACTACTTTCTTCAAAATCTAGTTTTGTTAATAATAGTTGCGCTGTATTTAAATTTGACCGTGTCTTTAAATAAATACTTTGTACCTTCAGGCATCAGAAACTTGTAAGGATCCCGCGTCTGAAACAACGAAACTAGAGCAACTACTGGCGTTCTCTTGTGGTCATCATTACGGGCAATCAGTATTTTACCAGTCGATTCTTCCGGAGTTGGAACTTGGCTTATTACAGCTGCATCATCCCCTTCCTAACACTGCAAGGGTTCTAAAAGGCTTGTTTGGTTCCAACTCGCCAAATCTTCATCTTGCGTGTCCGCGATGCGTGCTGAGTTATCTGCGGTCTCAGACGACACCACCATTGTAAGGTACCGTAACTTAACTTACAAAGATGTCGTAAGTGAAACGTATTATTAACCTGTGAGTTGCGTACTTATTGTGATGGTAATACGGTATCTTGAACTGACGGAATATTTTTAATGATGCTGGTTGAATGTGATTGTTAATTGTATGCCCATGAAACTTAATTATAGTAGAACTCAGGAGTCCTTATGTGTGATTAAACATTTTGAAAGAGTTTTGAAATTTACGTTAAGCAGAAATGCAACTTAGTTATGAATTCTTTAGCAACTGATATATAGGAATACACACATTTTTTAGAAGAAACATTTTTAAGTTAATGATGATTCCACATTCCTGGACTTTGTAGGCATGGGTCTTCAATTATTTTTACACTGTGATAGTATTTCAAACACTGCAATAAATTTATGACTACTGGGGAAATGAAAATTAACAGATACACTTTATAAAAAAGATGGGTTTTTGGAATTATTAATTTATGGTGTTGATACAGAGGTTTTTGACCTTTTAGCCGCTGGTGACGTAACACGATTCATGCCGTGGTATGTCTTGTAAGTCAGGAATGAACTTTGATTTGATTTCAGGCTTTAATGTGCATGTTTTATTATATTTTGCTTGAAATGCCAGCTAAAACTAGTCATTAAATCTTGACATTTAATAGCATTTATCACATTCTTCTGCCAAAACCCTGTTTCTGGATTGCGAAGTTTAATTCTCTGAAGTTGAAGCTCACCTATATAATATTTAATCATTTAACCCTTACCTCAAAGAGAACAAAACACTTATCCATTTACAAACATCAGTTGGTTAAGGCTATTTAAGGAGATAATCATTTTCTTACTGAGAATCATATGAAACACATGAATAAATTCTGTGGGCAAAATGCAGAATTATTGTTTGTTAAAGCATGTGGTACATATAGTTACCATTGGGTTTTAAGGGATAGCCTTTGTTTTGCTCTGAGACTCAAGAGATAGTGAATGTCTGCCACAAAAATAATGAGACTGTGCCTGTAACTCTTTTTATTTAACAAATTCAGAAAATCAACTACGATCACCTTCAAAATAGTTCCCTTCTGAGTTGACACACTGCTGCCAACGTTCAAAGCAATTCCGCAGGTCATGTTCTGTAAGGCTGTTGAGGATCTCCGCCGTTTTTGCTTTCACATCTTCTACCAACAAAAAATGGGTTCCCTTGAGCACCGACTTCATCTTTGGGAAGAGGTAGAAGTCGCAGGGAGCGAGGTCTGGCGAATAGGGTGGATGGTCAAGCACAGTGATGTTTTCATTAGCTAAAACCTGCTTCACAGACATGGCATCTGACAGAATTTTTGGAACCATTTTTTGCACAAAACTTTGTCATGTTCAAATCTTCCCTTAGAATTCGTCGAACACTTTCCTTGTCCAAATTGACTTTCTCAGCTACTGCTCGAACACTCAACCTTCGGTCTTTTCGAATCACATCTCGCACTTTTTCAATGTTGTGATCGGTAACAACTGTGCGTGGACATCCTGGGCGATCATCATTTTTCACGCATTTTCTGCCTTCCGAAAATCATTTGTGCCATTCAAAAACGCGTGCACGAGACATGCAATCTTCACCGTAAGCCTCAGTCAATAATTGAAAAGTTTCCGTCGCGGATTTCTTCAGTTTAACGAGAAACTTGACGTTAACTCGTTCACTTTTGCAGTCAGACATTTTCCGGCTGAGGGTAAAAACACGTCTGTACAAAAACACTCGTCCTCTGCTACTGAGTGAAGCAAACAAGTTGAAACATGTGTCACTGGTAGATGACAGATCAAGGTCAAATATGATCTGCATATTTCGCCCTCACCATAATTGTTTGCCTACTTACAGCATCACTCTCGTTATTTTTGTGGCAGACCTCGTATTGTTATGGATCGTGGGATACTGAGGATTGGATTTATTCTTACGGACAAATGATATCCATGAAAGTCCTGTGTTAGTAGTTGAATCCAAGCTCATGATGAGTCTGCAAGCTACTATATTACAAAACAAGAACTGTCATTTTTCTAAGATTCTTAAAAGTCGTTTCGCTTAATTGGCCTTTTATCGGGATGTGACTAGTATTTATTTTTAACTTCTCTGCAGTTATTAGCATCTCTGCTGCATATTTTGAAGATTCCACTTTATATTAATGGCATAGAGATTGACTATCCTGGCTGCAGTATCTCGTGGTTTTCCTCAAACACCTCACATAAAATAAAATAGGCTGTGATGATCACTTTTCACATCCTTCACATCTTATAATTTGATGATATAAAATTTGCGCAGTTGATAAAGTGATATTAAATAAAGCAATAATGAAGTATTTGTTAAAGATAAATTATCACTCTGTGCGTTTAGACCGTGTAATTGGAGTCGGAATAATCTGTATTAAATTGATTGATTCTCTGATGATTAGTGATTTTACTTAACGTCTGTGATATACTTCTTTTTAGCTATTGATGTAGTGGCTTATTTTATGAATCCATCTTCTGTCACATATCTGTTCGTGTCGTTGTATGTTCTAACTTTTTCGCCACATGTAAATCTGTATCAGACAGTCTCAAATGAAAATTAATTTCCAAACTTAATTATGCTTCACACATATAATGTCATTTTGCTGCTCTTAATAATTTGGGGTCTTTTTTGGGTTTAATAAAAATGTCAGAAACCTTGTTTCAGATCTAATATAATTACATTTATAAGTACATAGAAAATCAGTCGAGTTCCTTAAGTTTCTCTGATTGAAGTATGACGTTTATAATAAAAACTTAAGAAAAATTAATCATTTATAATAGATTAGGGAATTTCTGAGAAATATGTCCTTTTTTCCAAGAAGTACTTTTCTTAAAACGGAATACTTTTGGACCATATAACCATCAAGTTCAGTCTTCAGTGTCTACTTAACACCACATCTGTTCATCTAAACATTGCGTTGGGTTTCATGATTCGTTACGTCTGTTAACGCTTTGCAGCCGAAGGTTATCTAAATAATATTTAAGAATTCAGCCCATACCGAAAAGTGAAAACACGTCATTGTTACAAAGATCAACTGGTTAACGCTGTTTAAGGGGTTAATCATATTCGGAGTTTTGTTTCTGTGTGTGTACTTCCGTATCAGTTACGAAAAAGACTCACGTAGCATTTCATGTACTTTATTTTATGACTGTTGGCTGGTATCAAGTATTTTATCATATAAATATTAAAATAAAGAGCACAGAATAAACGTGAGATATGATAAAAATATAAAGTCATGAAAATTTGTCTAACTTATATGCCAATTATTCTATGATTTTAGTGTTCTAATAATTATATTTTAATATAAACATAATGTTGAGAGGATCCCTTGTCCAGGAACTAAATTATAACTAAAATATTTCCTCTGAACACTCAGTTCTTGATATTCTTTTCACTAGTAAGTAACATTCAAACCAAATGATCTTTTGAAACATGATTATAATTTAAAAAGTAATGTTCTCAAGTAATTTCAGGGCCACTCTTGTCATTTGGCAAAATACAGGAGAATGTAAAATGGGAAAAGTTTTTGCAAGCCCTGTATTTGTAATCCCTAGTGTTAGGATTTTTTACCTAAGAAGAGCCATTATTTTGCCACACTCTTTACATTATCAGTAGTAAAAATTTACGAAGATGTTTCCATATTGACGGACCGTGGCTGTGGATATTAAAAACTAAGAAGTTTAGTCTGTGGACAAGTGGTTTTTCAGGTATCGGTCATAAACGTATGTGATGGCACAAAAGAAATTCTCTCCGAACTTGCTTTCTGATTAAATTATCAAAGGAGTTTTATTACTCGTCTCTACCTGGTCCTGTGAACGTGTATAGCAAAACCAAATTTTGTAGCACATACATAAATCCTGGTCTATCTGTAGAATTAATGTCCTTAATCTTCGTAGCTTTAAATCAAAGAAATGTAATGGGGCATGATTTTTTTAGTTTGTATTTTCTTCTGATGCCCACGAAGGTCAAAAATGAACCGTCGGGCCCCTTTAAATGTTTCTAACCAATATTTGTACAAATTGTGATATTACATTTTTTATACCCTAGTCACTGTAAAGGTCTCATGGTCTTTGCTGCCAATTTTAATAGTACAGAATTGTAAATAGAATTTTTGGCAGTTACTGTGGCATGTGTAAAGATACTGTGGAAAGTAGAAATATTAATTTCAATATATTTTATTTCTGTAGTGTGCAAAGTTTCCAAATTCTCGTGTTTCATAATCCTGATTCCAAAATTATGAGGTTAGGCATTGCCATTTCTAATTTTAATAGTATGAAACAATGTACATCTACCCATGAAGTCTTCATGGGCGATCAGCCGTGTCAGGTGGCCATAAAAAAACCAACGATTTGAGAGCCGTCTCAGTCTTTATCATCAGGAATCAGTGAATGTCCACCAAAGTATTGTATGGGTCGTAGAAATGTACGTTTTCACAAACTCGTCACAGATTTATTTGAAATGTCATCTGTTAGTAGGATTTATAGTGTCTCATAGACAGGCAATAAATACAAAAGAGACTAGATATATCACCAAATTATATTTGTACATTTTATCATTTCCCTTTTATATCTTTATAAAGTTAATATTAATTTAAAATATCTTGAGCTAAGGGGATGGATGGTTCTGTATCAATTTGTACACTGATATTTTTAGTAAAAATATAGGAATTAATTATTATCTTAATAAAAATATAAATTTATCTAGAGTTGAACTTGAAGCAACGACTTTTCCAAATTGCCTATTGCATAATTGCATACAGTGGTTTAGACATAGGCCTGTTTCTGTTAGGGATAGTCCAGTTTACCAAAATATTAATAGAATGGTGGGCTTTTGCTGTGAAGTATTACATATTTTAATCTTAAATGGACTATATGTCCTGTTCTAAAATCTTAATTGATATTTTTACTGTCAATATAACTTATAATTAGTGTTGTAAGAGAAAAGGATTTTCAAACATGAACGTTTAAATTGTGTTTATGAAATTTATATTGTTTAAAAATAATACTTTTAAACCATTAGTGAATACTATTTGTGTAAATAAATGAGCTTTGTGTTGTTTAGACTAGGATGTCGCTTCTGGTGTTTCGAAGTTTCTTTAGTTGGTAACTCCTAACTTAGTAGGGTTTTTTGTTCTCATGGCACTGAATATCAAGATGGCTGTCTTTCGGTTTGTAGTACTGTGTAGTCTGATAGAAGTTTACCAACATTTCAGAGGTCCTTGCTGCCTCCACAGTCAGGGTGATGGCATTGATATTGGATACAGCAAATACCTCTGAAATGTTGGTAAACTTTTATAAGGCTACACGGTGCTACAACCCATAAGACCTCCATCTTTGAACTCCTAACCTATTTTCAGTAAATTTTTCTGAAGTATAAATTCCCAGTTCTTTAATCTTTGGGTATGATATAATGTATTTCCTGTTCAAACAATAACAAAATTAATGTAAACACGAATCTAAAATGTACTTATTTGTCATGGAAATGCTGTTATACTTAAATGAAACTCCATTTTACCCATAAACTGTATCAGAGTTGGAAAGCTTTTGGAATTTGAAGATGACTTTTAGGTGCTTCTGGCTTCTCTGCATTTATGTCAACACTTACATATCAAAACCACCTTTCAACCACATTATGAGCATTAATTAACATTTAAAATGGTTCATTTCCAATATAATCACTGTTCCTTCTATAAAATCACTGAAATAATAGTTACAATAGTTATTTTCATATGTAGGTATTATATTTATTGGTCTTATTGTATTATTGTGAGGTTATGGTGCGTTGTTAGTCTGGTGTCTTAATGTAGTGCACCAACACCTCAAAATTATACACTGACACTAATAACGAGATACATATGAAAGTTTATCAGTAGCAGCAATGCAAAGTATGCGTTATTCAAGTTTTCTCTTATTCTGTTTGCTCTGTATTTCATTATTACACATTATCCGCTCGTGTCAAACATCTTAGCTCTGTAATCACCCACGTGGCTTCTGAATATAAAAACAAAGTAGTAATACTGGGTATGACTCAGAGCCACTTCATTCTACTTCATATCCTTAGGACATACTTCCCGAGATCGGTATTAATATTAATCTTCCATTTTATCCGTCTTCCAAGTGGTCATCATCTGAGAGATATTTCCCCGTTGGGTTTTCATGTTCAGTCCGTCTTAAATCGTGAAGGTCTCCTTCCGACTTCATCTCTTACATCGAAAAAATCTTATGTAACACTTTATTCTTGAGCAACCTCAGACTTTTTCTCTTCTCTCGGGAGTGAAAGACCAGGATTGACAGCCATACAGAACAGTGGGTAAAATTATAGTTTTATGGTTGGTAGAAGATTCTGAGCTGAATGATAGTTGAACATTTTAAAATGCAGTCTTATTTAAATTGTGTAATTTTAATGTGATACTCTAATTCCTTTGTACTTGAATGTAATCACATTTACAAGGGATTTGTTAGTATGAATTATTGTTACGTTTTTTGTCATATATTCCAGTGATGAGACATGAACATAACCTCACATTTTTTTGTAGCTTCCAATTGGATATATGTGTTGTTCTTTGTGATGGTGTCTACATTCTCATCCATCAGAGTAATACAATCTGAAACTTGACAGTTATGACACAGTATTTCGTGTCTCTTTATATATAGAGAGTTATGTTTATTCTTTAATATTGATACCAACATATTTAAGTGAATTACAGCTTGCAAGTTGTTCATGTTTTTATATTAGCATAGTATATAGCTTTTGACCATTATTTTGATTATTTTATTCCGAATATAATTTAGATTCTCGTAATAATTATTATTCTTTATTTTATGTATAGGCAGTATAGTCTGTGAAAAAAAATCTGAGTTAAAATGCATGACAATATTTATTGCTCTTATATTATTTTGTTAAGTAATTATTCAGATATGGAGCCTACAGTTGTACAGTTAAAAGTCATTTACGTATTTTGTGCTGGATTGTTTGTATAATGCTGATCTTGCCAGGAATGTTAATATTCGTAGTTTGGAATTTTTACTGTGCTAGACTTACGTGACAGTCATAGTGTGGTCAATTAATTTCAAATTTTTATTAATTAATTTGGTTTCACTGCTATTACTTGTCATTGAAAATTACATAATTTGATTAACTTTAATGCCATTCACTCTAGCCATTTACAAGTCGTAAGTTTTTGCTTTGACAAATAATTTAGTTATTTTTTTTTAATCTCTGCTCTAAAATAAATAAATTAAATTTTTCTGTGTAATCTTGTTAATGTGAAATGTGTGCAAGCTAGGTGATATCTATAGTAATTTCAAATAGATCACAACCTCCTTCCTCATTTGTTTCTATTCAGCGTTTATTGTCATGTTTCTGCGTTTGTTGGTGTTACATAACCTAACACTGTTTTCAATAACGTATATTGTTGGTTGCCTTTTATACACTCTCGTGTAATTTACATATATACCTCATATACTGTACATGCAAGTTATCTCGGTAGCCAGATCAGGGAGGATGGTGGTTGGAATGTAAGAAGGTTTCTGTACGAGTCTGGTAGGAAACATTTGCTCTTCTGAGATCCTAGACGACTTACTCGTAGTCTCGCGTGTGAAGACGCACATCAACATTGGCCAATGCCAATACAAGAAGGTTTAACAAAGTAATTTACATCGAGTTTGGAGAGGGAGGTCATTAATAATGGCGTACTGTACCGATGTTTTCTTAACGGGTAGTAGAATTCGTGCGTATGCAGCCAGACCGGAAGTAGCGACTAGGAACGTAACTCACGAGATAACTTGCATGTATAGTGTTTTTCCCTTAATGTAATACAGGGGGCCCCCATATTAATGCTATTTATTTAAGTGGCTTTGTCAGAGTGTAAGCCATTTATAACAATTACGGTTATTGTACGACTGGAATTAGCACATATAACGAGTTATATAACCCCTTTTGAGACTGAAGAATTATAAATAATAAAATTTGTTTCTTGAGGTGGGTGTAGTCATACTGTTTACGATATTATTCATACGTTATGCCGTATTAAATATGGAAGCTGCTAAAACTATGTTTACTGTTTAGAAGATAGTGTTAAGCTGTATTTAATTAAGAATATTTCTGTACGTTTATCATCCATTTTTAATGTCGGTCTAAAACGTTTTTATGTTAGGAGTTTTAGACATTTTATGGTGATCAGACGTCGCTTGTAGGGATTTATATTACTTCAGATATATTTAAATGTTTTTATTTGAAATTAATAAGCACGTGTAGTAATGTAAATGATCCTCGTATTAATAATAATAAAACTTTTTTTTACTAGTACAATTAAAATTAACACAAAATAATTGAAATTATGTTCAGTAATATTTAAAAGGAAGTTGAAACCACGTGAATACAAAATACACAGTGTATATTATAAATTTTAAAAATGGAGAGTCTGGTTACCATATTATGCGTGTTTCAGATGTACTTTTAACTTTAAGAACAAAAAACAGTTCCATTGAGTAATATATTTGCGCATTCAGGAACATTTCCAAAATCTACCAATTCTGTGTTTACAAATTAATAAGAAAGCTATTACGTCTTGGTATCTTTTTATATTCCGAAAGAGATCAATGCAAACGCCATATGCAATGTACTCTACAGTACCCATGAATCATAGTATCTCGCATTAAGGTCTTCAAACAGAAAAGTTTAACCAAGTTCCTAATTAATCTATATTGGTAGATTTTGGGAGGGACTTAAAATTTTTATTAGTTTTTTGTGTGTGTGTGTAATTTTTAATAGACTTGTTGCCTATGTATGACATTAATATTCAGCTGTAAAGTTAAAATGTACATAAATATAAATGTAATTATTAGAGGTATTTTGAGATGAAAATTGTGTTGTATATTATAAATTATATATAGTGTTCAGTATTGGACATAGTCTATGAGTATATAAACAGAATTTATGAATATTTAACACCCGGATAGCCCCATCCAAGTCCATAACCCACCCCATCTGCAGGGAGTGTGTCTGTTGACCCAGGGGAAGAATCTGGTATAATTTCGTGGTATAGGTTTGCTACGTGAATTTCCATGTTGAAGGTGGCCCAGAATTTCGTAATGGAGAGATGTTCCGTGGCCCTTGATCTCCCTGGCTGAGATGAAATCGTCTCGGAATTCCACTAGCCTCACCCCTTTGCCTTCGCCAAGATGGTGACGGCGCGTTCCACGAGGCAGCCTACCTCGTTCACGCTGGCAGTAGATTCGGTCATGGTATGCTGGACCGAACCACCAGTAAATGGTATACGTTTCGTTATAATTAATTTTTAAGCAAATTTTAATGTAATTTGGTTTTTGAGTAAAGTACTCGGGGCGCATGCCCGGATACTCCGGTGGATACCGTCAGGGGACAACTTGGCTGACCCTCTGACGAGGGTTGCTCTGGGTAAGAGTATTACAATTTTTAAAGATTTATTTGCTGAGGAGAGAATACATTTATTGTAATAATAATTGATAAGATATGCTCATTATTAAATATGTATATCAAAATGTTGGGTCAGGTTGAAAAAATAACAACTTTGTATTGCATTTTAAAAATGCTTGAGGAGGTGCTGACATCGTCAATCGGTGCCGGTGGCAAAATTCGGAAACTCTCTTGTTTTTCTGTTGACGTAAGCTGTGTAGAACTGTACTTCATTTGCGATATTTGATCAGACGGGATATACTCCAGCCCTTTTGTGTGATGAGAAAATGTTTCTTCCCTTTTTAATAGAAATTTAAAAGGCCAGAGTTAAGGTTTACACGGCTGTGAAATTGTGGCTTGTGACGTCCTTATACTTGTTTTGACTAATGTAGTACTTTCATAGAGCATAGTGGACTAGTTGGTCTCGCTCTTTGCGAGAGTACGCGTGCTTCAAAAATGGAACCACGACGTAATGTGGTACAGCGTTGAATGTGGTGTATTAAGATATTTGTGAATTACGTTTCGGAATGAATGTGCGAAGAAGAGGCTGTGGTCTAGTTTGAAATGTTCAGAATTTTTGTCGTACTGTGGATGGCTGGTCTGTGGCCAGGATTCGAACTGGGTACCTTCCCCTGTTAAACCAGAAGGCAGGCTGTTGCATCAGTTTGCTTACTGTCGTTTGAAAGACGCGAGGTTAGAGAGTTGGAGCGACTTTACCTGGAACTCGTGAGTTACTTTTATGTAAAATTGTAAACAAAAAAACTACGCTCGTTAATTAAAATCCTGAATAAAACGCAAAGTGAAATTCATGTAGGTAGTCATTTGTTTGATATATTCAGAACGGATTTTGACAGACTTTTTTAAATCGCGTTTCGATATCGCGCTATAACATGCTGCCTTAAATACAAAATAATTGTAGATACGTAGGTAGCTATAATTACTTTAGTAGAATATTGTGGTATGTACATTTCAAAACCTCGTAACCTGATTAAACAGTTGGAAAGTCATATTTTTCTTGCAAGGTCTTGACATATCTCTTCCCACATAAAATAATGCTTTACTGTATAACACAACAACAGCATCATAATAATAATACAGATTAATTTAATTCATTAGAGAATTTTCCAACAGCAAAGCGCTTATGACAAGCAAACAATAATAAATATATATACGTAACAGCTGTGAAAGATATTAATTTATTTTCTCTCCGTGTTCACAGTTGTATCAGTTTCGTTAAAATTATCTACTAAATTTACATGTTATAATTTTATTTATACTTTTCACTCTTGGCATTACAGAATGCTGGTAGTGGTTTGTAAATTTCATAAAGTTCACGCCAAAATTGGCCATGGTTGTTTTTTAAGATTTTGGATTGGTAGGCCTGCTGTCCAAATCCTCGTGCGGTGTTTCTTTACAATCTAGAGTTACGTACAATGGATACCGCGTTTGTAAAAATAATTCTCATATATTGGACAGAACTATTGCATAAGCGCCGTAATCATTGTTTCACAGTCTTATGATGGTTAATTTTATGTTCACGGGTTAAATTACTAAAAGATTGTCTTTCAAACTCCAGTGAATAAGGTGACGTTTGTGTGGTTTGTGTTTCTGGACAGTAAACAGCGCTAGAACATGTGTTTTGTTGCGTAAGATGATTGAACTAATTCATAACCTAACATAACACCGCATGTAGGTAATTGTGTAGTGGCTGTTTCGGACAGTGCTGAAACGTGTTGTAACAGAAGAGTACATTATGTGTGGACGAGTAGTGCTTCATCTAATGGTGCTTGCAACCTGTCCTCACTACGAAACCCGTTTGGTAAGTCATATTGTTTACAGTTTTAATAATATCAAGGAAAGTTTATCCTGCTTAAAATGGTACATGGCACACCACAAATGAAGAATTACTTTCGATATTTTGAGGGATCAGAATTACAAGCCTACAAATTCAAAATGATATATTTACAATTTCACAAGTTGTAGACAAACGGAACAAACGAACGTTTTAAAGGTATTAAACAGTGTCATATCCACCCATCTTACATTTCTTTCCCGTCATGTGTCTCACTCTCATAATCGGAGCAGGGGAGTCAACATTTCACTAAAGTTACCAGTTATCACCAAATTTTGCGGATGACATGTTTCTAAGGGTAGAGTGTGGTATGCAACTTTTACGTCAGCAGCCGCTGCGGAGCGTCTTCGATCACTGGTTACGTGTTATAAGGTTAGAATAATTATCTAAAATACTTATGCAATAAAAAGTGGCCCCTCAGTCACAAAAAGTTATGTTTGCAAACAGGAATGTTTTTAATTTTTCATGAAAGCGTATGGTGTCCATTTTGAAATGAAATATCTACCAAATTGCTATCACACCCAAATGGTTAGCAATCCCTGGTGATCCATAATCATTCCATACATACTTTTCTTGATTTTTTATCTAATAGTAATATATATATGAAATAATTAGTTAAGATTGCTATTTTTATCTGATATTATTTCATCTCATGATTATTTGCAGTGGACATAAAATTTTCAAAGTCATATATCCACAATACAAGTACAATATACAGATATAACCATCAGATGTCAAACACTAAATTCAGTAAATATGAAAAAGGACTTTACAATGATGATAACCTTATTGAAGCCTAGTCGTCACTGAATTCCAGTCACAATGAGTAACTCAAGAAAAAAAACACATTTTGTTACTGATTAGCTTAATACCATTAACTCAAATGTAATGAAAGCAAGATAAAAAAGATTGATTCTTGAATTTTTGAAATTGCTGTTCATACTCGTCAGCTTTGTTAAAGAGATATAATAGCAATTTTCTTCTTTTGAACTGTTTTTGAGGTTAAAAAAACATTAGAAAGAGGTTTTTTTATAAGAGTATTGTTCTTATTTTCACACTGAAAATCTTCATTCCATTATTATTAATAATAATGTTACATGTCACAATATATTTGATTTACATCATAAGATGTGGCATTCATTATTAATGCCTTTATTATCTGCTGTACAAAGTATTACAGATTCATTCTATTTAATGGGTAATTTCTTTTCTTAGTGTACTTTTAAAATTATAAAATCATTTAATACCTTCTCCATTTATATATACTGGTACTTTTGAACTGAAAGAATTCAAAATGCAGGATAATATTTATTGAAAACATTAAATAATAAAAATAATCCCTAATTTTTAGATGAGAAACATAATATAAATTCAATATGCGTGGTGCGTCGTGTTCATTCTTTGTTTTTATATATTTTCTGCAGGGAATTGAACCTGATGATAGCCACACTGGTTCAAAACATGTTCAAGTGAACAGACAGCGAGCAGAAAAACAAAGAATAAATCCATTATAAAATAAACCATAAATGAATCTGAATTTGATTATAAAAACTGTTTTGCTTGTTATGAAATTTTTGTTTTATATCTAAATCTGCTGTTTTATTATTGATGATTTCAATTTTTTTTAATTTTTATGAAATGGAAGTTTACAAAACCTGAACTTCCGTAACGTTCCAGTTTATTCTTTATGGATACATTAAAATGTTACTGCTAATTTCATATACTGTACTGGTACTGCTTATTGTGTCCTTTATGCCTGTGAAGAATAATAGTTAAATAGGCCCCTATATGAGATAAAATGATATGGAGGCTACTGTTATGTATTCCAGCATATAAAATCTAGTTTCTTAAGTAAACATTTTGTACTGTGTTATAAGGATTATGGAGTACCAGGGAATGTAATGAAATATCAACATAAATATTTAACTCGATTTTTGTTTCAAATTTTTTTGAAAATCTATCACAACATATCTCACAAAAAAAATATATAATTTTAATGGTTACAAAATATAAACAAAATTATTGATATCCTGTGTTTTTTTGTAACAGTAACTCACCTTAAATGTTAGCCATTTCTGGAATTATTTACGAAATTCAAAATTGGAAATATTTTATAAAAATAACTTTTTTAAAATAAAAATTTGTTTAATCTGTAGTTATCTGGTACCAGAATGTTTTGCTGCCATATGAATTTGTCATATTATGTTTTTTTTTGTTACAAGTCTGTGATCTGTTGTATATAAATTCCTGAATTAAGACGATAAAAAAATTTTGATTATATGATTGAGTGTGTTCGTATATCTCATAGCTTGAGTTTCAACAATCTGGGTGGCATTGAAGAACTACGTGTCCATAAAATGGAATAGTTATTAATTTTAATTTGATTAGTTGTTGTTAAACATTGAAAATACCATTTTCCAGCACCTGTTAGATAAGTTTTACAGTTATCGTAATACATTCTTAATTAACAATCACACTCTCACATCATTTTTACATTGTTGTTTATCCACGCGTTCCGTTTCATACGTTCAGTTAGTTCTATACTAGTAATTTTATTTCATTTTACAAAATAACAAATATTACACAAGTTTCAAATATCTACGCTAATTCCGACTTCATGAATACAATGCGAAGTGTAAAGCCGCCCATCCACGTACGAGTCTGGCTCGGATACATTTCACCGCGCATGCGTAGCAGACTCGGCTCGTGACACCCCCACCCACAAACGAGTTTGGCTCGATGGAACCCGAGCCGAGCCAGACTCGTACGTGGATGGGAAGCTTTAGAAAGATTGTAAAATTCTCACTGTATTTCTCAGATAACCTATAGAATTTGGCAACATTGTTAATAATCTTTTCCACGTAATAGAAAAGTCACAAGTATGATAATAGAAATCCAAATTAGAATTATTCCTGTGTCATTTGTGGGTATTATACGCAGAATTTTGATGGTACGGTTAAACCAATCTTATCCCGCCATAATCATACCGTATCTTTTACGTAGGAACAATCTGAGTGCGTACCAGAAACAGGTCTGTAAACTTTTGCGTGTTAATTCTGAGTTCTTGTAAATGTGAGACTTTTTTTATCAAAATAAATCACCGTTATTATCTGGTTTGTTAGCAGTGTTCCAAATTTGGAACGCGACGGATTTACGTTAGTGAAATTAATAAAGTAACGGTTAATCGTGACAGATGTCATTATCGTTAATCTGCGTATAAAATAGTGTAATTGCGTCATATTATGAATATTATAACAATTATTTATTTTAATCCGTCTTATCATTCATATTTGAGTTTTAAGTTCTTAGATATTTTACACCTGATGATGATGAATATGATTCATATTTGAGTTTTAAGTTCTTAGATATTTTACACCTGATGATGGTTTTATAAAAACTGAAACATGTTGTGTAAATGTTCCAAAATGTAATCGATCAATCGATATGGAACATCAATGATATTTTATTATCTTAATTATAAGAAATTTTAAATACTGCGTATAAAAGTAACGACTTCATACATTTCTGCGAGACAGCTTGTGTTGAAATACATTCAAGATTAGACTCAGAAAACCAGAGAAATATCTTGTTACAAATTTCCTGGTTATTTATATATTAAAATATATTATAGTTCTACTTTATGTCCGGAAGAAAGCGGATTTTACTGAAACTATTTTTTTTTACGATTTTTCTAGGAAAGTTCTATATTTCTTCAGTAGTTAAACGAACTTAAAAGAAAATTGCCATATATTACATACTGGCATATTTATCACTTTATAACCAAGATATATTTTTACGCGTGTTCTTTGTGTCCTGAACTTCTGAGGTCAAACAAAGTCTTTTGTTATTGTTCCAGTGGACTGAGACCGCCTGAGATATGGCACGGCATTTACCTACCGATTTACAGAAATACGAAGTTTGATCACACGATAATCACGTTTATATTTTATTTTATGGCAAACCTGAAAACTTTCTAAACGTCACAAATAATGTAATAGCTAGATATTTACGTAGACAAGCTTACACTTAATTGTTTTGAATTTATCCACTGGTTTGTACTCTGTTTGACCATACGACGCGTGAGATACATTAAAAAAAATACACGTTATTATTTTGATCACAGTTTTCCGGAATAGTGTGACCCGATGTTTGACGGTGGACCGCGATTGTGATGGTGTGGATGTGATAGTGTGGCCGCCTTGTGAGACCCCGGGGCTGAGTAGCGGCTACCTGGTCGGGAGTGCACGATGGCATAGTGGTCGCTGTTGGTTGAGATGGATCTTGTAGAGTTCATCGTAGACCCACCAGATGTGTACCCGGGCTTCCCATTTAGGGAGTACCTACAAATACATTTAAAATAGTTTGCTAAACTGTAATTTCTTTGTAAAATAAGCAAACAAACAAATTATTAACGCTATAAAAAAGACGCTAGTGCCATAGGCGTTTCAACCTCAAGACGTCATCGTCAGTGACAACAGCGAAATTAATTAATTTAATAAAAATGGTTTAGAAAAATAATGGAGTAGAGTATTTTTCAACAACATATCATTTGTAATTTCTTTAATTATCGAATTTAGTAGCTTTTTTTTAATAAATTGCCATCAGGTGTCAATAAATTTTCCTCGTGGTCTTGTAATCAATAGGAAAGGGTGAATTTGGTGACAGATATGGAAAGGTTAAGAATTCTGTACTAAATAATATGACTAGCAGACATGTTATTGAAATCGGTACCTGTGGGTTATCGGGACACAAAACGGGGAAGTCAAATATCTGGAGTCATTTATTGAAACAAAATATAATAACTTTCAAGTGTATGTCATTTATCCACACACATTAACCTAACCTAAGCTAACGTAACCTAACCTAACGTAACCTAAGCTAACCTAACCTAACGTAACCTAACCTAACCTAAGCTAACGTAACCTAACCTAAGCTAACCTAACCTAACCTAACGTAACCTACCCTAAGCTAACCTAACCTAACCTAAGCTGACCTAACCTAAGCTAACCTATTTTTAAAGCGATGTGTCCCGATAACCCACAAGTACCATGAAATCTAACGTCATGTATGTTTATTGGTTATATAATCGATCTCTGTGATCATGATGATGTGGGTTTTGGCACAAATTAGACTCATCAATAGATGTCACCATTTTGAAGAAAGTGTCTCCATCTACAGCCCTGAAGATGGAGACATCACGTTTCTCGAGAATGTTGGCATAATCAACATAACCTCACTTCTATGTTTTTCTTACCTGGAACCATACTGAGAGCCATGCCAGCTCCTGTACGGATCGTAATCTTCAATTATACTGGGTTCTTTCTCTATGACTTCAGTTCTAGCACAAGAACACGTCATTGCAGAGCAAAGGAAAATGTTGATGATTAGCATAATAAGGAACATTATTCCAAACGCTATGCACAGGTACAGTAGCCAAGGTGGGTTCACGCCGCCTTCACACAGCTCCTGAACAGCTGCAACGTACAAAATTAGACCATAAATCAAATTTGACCGCCCTTAGCTCAGCGGTAACTAAAGTTTTATCGAAATATGTTGAGATGTGAACTGGATTAAGTGGAATGTAGTTTTCACTGGCGGATTTTTGTGATCAACCTACAACTTTCAGAAAAGGAGAAAATTTCTTGGTTGGTTGAGTAACTATGGGATACCCAAAAGAACATCTGTCTTGGAATTTAGTATCTGATTTGGGGGGGGAAAAGAAATGTCTCGCCGACATTCCCTTTCGGATAGCAGAAAATTAGGTGTGGCGTGACGAACCGCAGATCCTTAAATTTATTTTCTCTGCTTGGGGAAGTGAAAATCGCGAAACCCCTGAGGTTTTAATTAATGTTGGGATGGCCGTGAAATTAACAAAAATTCGATCCACCAGTAACAATTTTTAAGTCAGAAAATCGAACTTCTATGTATGTAACTGTATATATCTGTAATTGGAAAGTGTACGATTTGGTCCATAACAATATTCTCCGCTCATGCCAGAGTAAAAGTGAGATTCATTTGATTTAGTCACGTGTTACGACTCTGTGACTTGGTCCACTGTTACGTCCAGGTTTTTCAGTTTTAAATTTCCCTGCTTCGTCTTTTGTTTCAATCAGTTTTTGATCCGGAGAATATTTAAAATGAACACAGTTTACGTCAGTGTGATTTCTCTGTGCGATAAAGCTCCTGTAAGATGTCTTAACACTTTTATTGACAACAAATGAACAGCTAGATCTATGAGTTGTGTAAAATTACGAATAACGTGCCTGAAAAATGTTGCTGATTAGTTTTTACTTTTAATTAGTCTTGTTCTTACGATTTATATAAATCCTTTTCTGCTGTACGTTTTAAGGGCGTGGCGTGTAGGTGGAGACCTACGCAAATATATCTACATGAAAATGTTCTCAAAGCGTATCAGGGGTATAAATAATTAATGACTGAGAATTGTAACGCTTAGAGATTTTTTCCAGACGATTCTCGTTAAACGCGATGCAATTCGGTATTTAACGCTCAGTTACGCGTGTGAATGTTTCTAACGGAAGTTTATAATCTTGTAACATTCGGGCTGAGAACGTGACCAAAACGTTTGTGCCCCGAGGGGGGGGGGATTTAAACCCGCGATTAAAAGTTCGTCACACCAAAGACTGTGTGGTAATAGGAACTGATTTGAATCTTTTTGTTTCAATAATTTACTAACTCTGGTAGCAGATACGAGATACCACAATTTTGACATAATTTTCAGGGTTTATTAAATGTTAAGATTATTTAGTCGAATGATAGAATGATTAATGAATTATGAATTAGAAGAAAAATAAAATAAAACCGAATTGAACAAACTTAAGGTATATTATATCGAGATTTCGCCTGGAGGAATGAGGAAAATCACGGAAAACCTCAGTCAAGTTAGCCGATCTCAGGGCCAAAATCGGGGACCTCGAAATACGAAGGAAGAAATCCTCGGTAGCGACGTTCAATATTTTATCCTGAGACAAAGAATTTTATTTTGTCAAATCGCTACTTTGAACATCCCTGATAAGTAATATATCGGATATAAATGTCAGAACTCCATTAATTTCTTAACCCACGCGAACATTTTGAAATGGACATGTGCTTTCTCGTGATGAAGTCTGAGTGGCCTTGCTGGTTTAAGCCCTGAGTGGCGACCACCTTCTGTTGAACCGGTCTAACCACTTGGACAAAGAAGGAAATGCGCCTGACGTCGAACCAGACGAGGCGGTGAAAGTGGGAAGCAGTTTAGGACCAGGATCGGTTAACATTTAAAAAGAAATACAATTCTTCTTATAGAAGGTCTCGCAGAGGCTGTTAGTGGAAGACGACATTGTGATTCGCCATTTTTGAGAAACGGTCACACTCAGAATGATTGGAATGTTAAAAGTAATTGAAATTAACACGATTCGGTGTTCGGTCTGTGGAGGTTTTGTGTTAATGTCACGAAACGTATTCGATATAAGTTTTTCGTTTTGTAAAAAGAAATGAAAAATGAAATAGAAACTAAACTTATATGTTTAATCTCCGAAAATACCCGACAAATTTCGATCAAATTTCAAACTGTTGGTCAGTATTGCCAATTTAATTTTTGAACATAAATTGTACCGGTCACGTAGATCTATAAATCCCTACTTTATATAAGTCAACGTCGAAATTTTATCATATTTATATTTAAAGTTCTTATTATAAAAAAAAAGGTATGAGATTCAAAACAGAACTGGTTGTAAAACATTTATGATAAAGCGAATATTAAGCTGAATAAAAATGAAAATAAAACATTGTAGTCAAAGTTACTAACGTCATTAAATAAATATAAATCAAACAAGGAAAAACAGGGGCTGACTGGTTTAAGTACGTAATATGCAGTGTGACAGGTTTTGTAACAATATATTTATATCTTGAATAAATATCATGACGGGTATTAAAGTATGAGAGAAAGTATCTTAATACAGGTCGATATGTAATAATTTTTACGATAGCTTATCACTCTAATTCACTTTCAGTGATTTATCAACCAAAATATATTGGTACTCTTTTGAGTACAATGACATTCCGAAGGCGTTCTTTACGCAACATCTCGACGTTAGCGAAGCAAGGAAGGGAATAATAAATAATATAATTATATCAAAAGCAACAGCGGTGACTTAAGTCGCTGTTACACTTATCAGATCCGATATAATTGTTGCTCGTAAATTCCAAATCATCGTTTCGTTCGACAAGACGTTTTACACACGCTCGCAGAATGTTTTGTTGCAAGAATAACTCTAGATTCTAGTCTAAGCTACTGAAAAAGTGTCATTAAATAAGTAAATATGGCTTTTATACGTCAAGAGGTCAATACTCACTAGGGCTGTCGCCGGGATCCAATACGAAGACGCTCGTACTGGCCATAAGAACGCCCTCGTCATTGGACGACGTTTCGGTACTATATATGTCTTTGTCTTGAGCTCTGGCTTGAGCAGCTGGAAGGGGCTCCAAGTCTGTCTCACACTGCACGTCCGGGCAGACCCCTAGAAACACAGAAACATAATCAGTACTCAACAACTTGTATCACGGTTAACTGTCCCCCAAGCGAGTAAACGAATGTATTTCTGTAATACTCAACAACTTGTATCACGGTTAACTTCGACTGGTGGACGTCGTCTTGGGCCCCAAGCGAGTGAACGAGTGTATTTCTGTAGCCCCCGATTCTTACCATGATTCGGTCGCCAGGCCCACGTTTATGGCATTAAAGGAGAGATTTTGTATTAAGTATCCTGTTACATAGTCCCGATTGTGTCTCGTTCAGACAGAGTTTACCGTTGAAATTAACGACAGGCGTTTTGGGCGAGTTAAATTATACGTAATCTCTGTTCGAAAAACATCATACCCATCTGTTCCTTGATATTACGCGTGGTTATTAGTTGATGTTTTTAACGCGGCGTGTAGAATCGACTCACCTTTGCAGACTGCGATGTCACACTGGAAATGAACCTCGCTGGATTCTGGAAATCGGAACATGGAGTACAATGTTGCGTCTGCAGCTCCAACTTTTTCGTCGTATTTGAACTGGGAAATGACCCTCGGGTTCACAGGGCATCTGAAAATTACAAGATTCGCGTAATTTTATTTCATGGCGAACTAAAATTAAATACGATAAGACAAAAAAAAAGTTTATATTGCTGTGGGCGGTTTATTTATGCAAATTACACTCGTAATTATTCGTGGGTCACCTAGTTTTTCACACCGATGTAAAAATATAAGTTGTAGTCAGATAGTTTACTGACGTTTCAGAGGTCCTTGGTGCCTCCATCATGAGAAAGCCCAAAATTAGTCTGACAGTTGAACCTTCTCATATCTCAAGCTGAAAACTCGAACCTGGCTTAATTATCGCCCTGATGATGGAGGCAGTAAGCACCTCTGAAACGTCCGCCAAATTTAACCAGTCTAAACGGCGATACAACCCAGAAGACAGTCATATTCATTATCGCCTCCGTGAGAAACTCAAATCTCACTTAGACTGAGGGTGTTTGAAGAAAGGTCCTTAGGAAAATATTTGGACCAAACTGGGAGGAAAATAATAAAAGGTTGGACAAATTACATGCTGGGGAGTTTTATAATTTATAGTAGTCACTAAATATTATAAGGTTGCTTAAATTGAGGATGAGATGGGTTGGACATACAGTACGAGTGGGGGAGATAAATTTACGTAAAAGGAATTATCGGAGACTTGTGGGGAAGAGAATGTTTTGAATAACTAGACAAGAAATATCTTTTTGTAGCTTAAATGCGTCATGTTTGTGTTGATTAAATATATATTTTTATTTTCACAGTCTATACACAAACGTTTTTTGTTAAATGATGTTGTTAAAATTATATAATATTAAAACATTATGTAGTATAAAATATTATATTTTTATTTTTGGCGCTTTTTATTCATTAAACGACATGTTTCGATGGATAAGACCTCATCTTCAGGTTTATATCAATTTTATAATATTTTAAAATTATTAGATTTTTTTTTAGATATTTTTATGCAATGTATTATATTAATCTGTGGTTTGCTTGTAGATTTTCTATAAAAATATAATATTTTATACTACATAATGTTTTAATATTATATAATTTTAACAACATCATTTAACAAAAAACGTTTGTGTATAGACTGTGAAAATAAATATATATAAGAAATATCTTGATTAGCTAAACGACTATCAGCTTCTAATGGAGGGCTCTGATAAATGGGAAAGGTGAAGATCTTTAGTAATATTCGTGTAGGTGTTACGGTCTTGAGAACTTCTGAGATGACGATGTTGAGTCTGGTTTAAGAATTTTCACATCTGAAGACCAAACTACAAAGCGGTTCACTTGAATAAATGCAGTTAATTTTTTTTTATTGTTATACTTCGCAGCAAAATCACCTTCTTTTGTCTAAGACGTTGGTGGTCTCCCAAAATGTCCGCCTTTTACGATCACAAAAATTATAATTTCTTTATACGCTTCGGTCATTAATCATTTAGACAACTAACCTCTTGTCGTAAAAAAAACACTTAACAATCTCCTTTACAGAGCCGACACTACTTAGACTCCGAAGGTAAATAGAAATGTTTTTGTTTTTTTCGTACCGAGTTACCGAATTTTATACGCGTCACAGAAATTTATAGCCGCGTGTTAATAAAACGCTGTTGGAAATGTGTATTTTTGCACTTTGGTGTACTTTAAATATGACTTCTTCGGAATTGAGTGTAAAAGCTTGCCTTTGATATTAATTTATTATTTGTACAAATACGTTCCTTGGAACGCCTGTCATCCTAACTTTGATAGATGTAAACAATTTTACTTACGTTGCGTAAATTATGAATGTTCAAACATGTTTAGAGAAAAAGATAAATCCACGAAATAGGTTAACTGCACCATTTAACTGCATTTCAAGACCGTTCAGAAAATTTGAATAACCATGGACACAGACGTATATTAATCGACTGGTACAGAGGTTTACAAAGTGTGAGGCGCGCCCTCCCTGGGGGAGGAGTTGTTTGTATGAAAAACTTTTTTTAAAGAAATATGGAGAAACATTTTTAACATCCTTTGCTTCGTAGAATTCAGACTCGTAGAGCATCCCACTAATCCAGGTATGAAGCGTATATTTTATTACAGTTTTTTAAATTAAATGCATTGAATAATATATACTAAATTATAAAAAAAATATATACTCATAGCTAAATTTTATGAAAAATCTGTTTGCTTGAACTCGTTCTGGAAGGGGGGCGTGAAATTTATGAAATGTTTTAAGGGGGGGCAAGGTATAAAAGTTTGGAGACCTCTGGACTAAATATGAAACGTAAAACGACGTTTCGGAGATGGGACTCAATGTCCGTCTTCAGGTTCCTACACAGTTGGGCCCACTAGATAGAGCTAATCCCTATCTCCCATCTCCGAAACGTCGTTTTACGTTTTATATTTACTAGACGATGGATAATATCCAAGAAAGGTCCGGAGATAGGGATTAGCTCTATCTAGTTGGCCCAACTGTGTAGGAACCTGAAGACGGAGATAGAGTCCCATCTCCGAAACGTCGTGTTTTACGTTTTATATTTACTAGACGATGGATAATATCCAAGAAAGGTCCGGAGATAGGGATTAGCTCTATCTAGTGGGCCCAACTGTGTAGGAACCTGAAGACGGAGATAGAGTCCCATCTCCGAAACGTCGTGTTTTACGTTTTATATTTACTAGACGATGGATAATATCCAAGAAAGGTCCGGAGATAGGGATTAGCTCTATCTAGTGGGCCCAACTGTGTAGGAACCTGAAGACGGAGATAGAGTCCCATCTCCGAAACGTCGTGTTTTACGTTTTATATTTACTAGACGATGGATAATATCCAAGAAAATTTTTATTCAATAGTCAGAAATCTTTATGATTTCTCATTTTTGGTCCATCCTGTAGTGAAAACTTAAGCATTAGGAATTGTGTTCTGGTTACTGTATAATTCATGCAGATATAAATTCCACGTTGCTTACTTTTCAAATTATGTTTTAGTAATGGACATCGCTAGATTCACGTCACTGGACACACGAACCTCGCATTGGCAATTTCATTGCAGTAGACCGATAATCTTATGGCAGTAAGTATGGTCTTACAATTGACTTCAGAGTTTATAGAAGCTTGAGTTGTCAGATCGTGTTTCGGGCTATCAGACTTCTAAAGGACATGAAGTGAAATCGATTTCTGCTGTTGGCGAATAGTACGGTACGAACAATTTCTGCTTATTCCTTGATTTAGGTTCGATTATATTCGATTTTCTTCGAGAGTTTGCTGCCCTCATTTTTTCAGACGATTGGTTGATATATTTTTTATTTTTTTTAAAATTTTTTTTTAGATAATAACATATCGTATGACCCGTTAAATAAGCAGCTGACATGGAGATTAGACGTCATAAAACAAAGCGTGTAGGATCTTGAATTGGACTTGTTCAGGGTGGGATTTGGTTGAATGCTTTTGTGAATACGGCGCTGAGCCTTGATGTTTAATAAAGACTAGTAATTTCGTAGATAAATAAGTCACTGGAAGATGATTATCTTGTGGGATTGCCGGGATGTGTAGATTTTGACGTATGTTTCAGAGATGTTTAATTTTTTTTACCATCATGGCCCCGATGATTGAGGCAGCAAGGACATCTTAAAAGTCGGCCATTCTATTACGAGACTGTAGATAAAATTTCATATTTGTGCGACTGTTATATTCTCAAGGAATATCTGCGTAGCTCAGAAGATGTATTATTTAAAACAAATCTGTAAAATTTTATTTAATATTGAATATTTCAAGACGTGATTTAATGTGGGTTTACTTCAGAGATGCCTTCAGTAGCGTAATTAATTTTAAATTGGGTCCCTGAGGGCGTAGAACTTATTTTGCGCGTCAAAGCTCTGTTACTGATGAATGAGTTTGGTTATAAAGTATTTACGACTCCACTTCGAAGCTGTCTGATTGGTGGGCTGGAGCATTGACCTTTCCTGCCTCATGTTTACTGAGACTTACGGATAGATGGCGTACCTCTGGTGGGAGACGTGAATATGGAAATGTGATTATGAACCAAAAGTTCAGCAAAACACGTCTCCTGTTTTAAGGAATTTATAAAGTAACTTAATAAAAGTGCAAAAGTGCATTATAGGTTAATAAACTCCTCAGCAGATATCGATAGTTGGAATGGTTGTAAGATATATACGAGTACAACATAATGTTACTGCACTATTGATAATTAATCAACAATATTTGTACGACGTATGTCATCTGATTATGATAATTGAATAAAATATGATATTGTCTTGGGAAATTCACCATCTTCATTTGTATTTCTTTAAATATTTATTGCGTTTGAACACGTTTTAAATAAAGACACGTCTATATTAAGATAAAATCGATAGGATATAAGATACAAGTGTAATTAAAAATGTTGACATATTTCTAGAAGTGGAAACCCAAATTGTCATTAATAATTTAATATAAACATTTATTTCCAGTGGTCTATTTGAAGAGTTAATGGTAATGATATTCACGTCTGATTGTTTTAATGTTTCACTTGCTGTAAATATTTATGACAGTCATTTTGTGAAATGTCTACATAATAGGCAAGCGATGGTCTGTGATCTTACGCTGTTTAGGGATTTCTATGGCCTTATGGGAAAAAATTTAAAAATGTTTGTTATAACGGTTGCCATGGTTACGACGTTAATGAGCCAATATTTATGACTGTGGGTTTACGCCTTTAGATTTTCCCGTCATTAGTGACGGGCAATTACTGGTACTGCTATATTTCAGTAACTATACGTATATACACGTAAAATGTAGATCTGTATTTAAAAAAAAATTATATATTTTACTGATAACGCAATATTTTGTAAGAAAATATTTACTTATTCGTGTTTTTTTCCGTCTAATCACAATTGTATATAAATAAAATTATACATAAGATATTAAAATATCATTTACATATTGTACAGTTGTGCCAAATATGTAAATGATATTTTAATATCTTATGTATAATTTTATTTATATACAATTGTGATTAGACGGAAAAAACACGAATAATTAAATTTTAATTCACAATATGACGCAATTATATCAACTTATGAAAATATTTACCTTATGTGCACAATGTGAGATATTAGTTTAAAATTTTTTTAGAATTAATTTTGAATTATATTTGGTCGGAATAACATATCCTTCAAAGCAGAGGAACGCGAAGACATTTTTTTCTATGCTTCAGGTGTTCGTGAGCAGTGAACTAAGAAACTTACAACTGGAAGAAAGGTCGTGGAGCGAAGCTCTCAGCTTGATCCATCGATAACAAAAGACAATAGAGATCAACGTACTGAAAAATCTTGTGACATTCATACGAGACCCTAAGCTTATATTTTCGTCTCGTTGCAAAAATACAAGACTCGATACTGAAATTAGAACAAGTTTGCGTTATAAACGTTTACAAAAATGAAATAACACCTAATAAAATTCGTTTCCGTGAGCCAAATTACAATTTTCTAAGTGTAATTAATTTTTTCAGTAAATTAAATGGAGAAATTTAATACTTTTTTTTACGAAAACACGTGAAAAACTGAACACTGAACCGTACAAATTCGTATTCAATAAGGATTACGTAATTAGTTAACACTTTAGAACGCAGTGGTAAGCGTATATACCACCTGCTTTAATGTCTACTAACTCCACATTCTACCCCAATAAATCCGAATTTATTTCGTATGACAGAGTCAACAGCCATTATTTCGTTAAACTCCGTTAATACTTGATATGTGTGATGGAAATGTCATGTGTTTTCTTTGCGGTAAGAACTGAATTGTTAAATATTATTTAGGCGAGATCTAACTTAGTGGTTTTCCTCGGTCCTAGAGCAAATTCTGAGTTGGTATCCAAATTCCACATTACTCTGCACGCCTCTTATGAAACCCTCCCATTAACATCAAAATTTTACCAAATTTCGACCAAAAATTAACGAATTAACTAAGACCCTGCTTAACGTGTATCCTCGTTATCTTCACTAAACCAAAAAGACGAATGGGCACTGCCTGGGGGGCCTTTGTGGCGGTAAATTTACATTCTCTCTCCCCACGCCTCGTTAAATCGGATGTCTGTGTCTCTAATTCCCCACTTTTATCTTCTGTTATTCGAATCTTCAATAAGCGGGATACAGGTTTAATAAAAATAATCCAAATATCATAGTGATAATTGTGATAACAGAGGCCGATGCCCCTATGGAGTGCGCTGTCTTCGAAGGACGACGGCCTCCTGAGGTAGCTTTGGTTGTACGCAGACAGTATCCAGGTCGCAGATCGAAATCTTTAAGATACTGCTGTCTCATCCTGTCGGATATGCGGCCTTATTTGTGTGTAGCTCAGTCTTCTTCATCATCATCATCATCGTCATCATCAGTAGCTTGGAGGATCAGGGCCAATGGCTTTTTTCCGTTCTCTTTAAGATTTAAGCTGTTTTTTGTCATTTCAAAATTATTTTAATTCCGCGGATAATTCAAAGCCCTGCGCGTTAGGATTTTATTAAATACACGGGACACGACTCTACCAATCATGTATGTAACTTCAAAAATATCTGATATACAGTACGTTCATCGATAAAGTTTTATAAGCAACTGTCACTTACCGGATCCCAAATGGGACTGCATGATTCACCACCAAGAGCTACAAAGTTTTCTCGATACGAGCCAAGTATTGTTTCATAAAAAGAATAAAATTAGATTAACTCTTTTTTTATAACTGTTACTCTCTGGAACCAAGAAGTGACGGTCGCGTATAACTTCATTAGTTAACGTCCCCGTATCGATACCTGAAAACGTGTTTTAGAAACTTCGACACTTAATTCGAAATGTTTTTTTTAGTTAAGTGTCGAGACTTGTGATCCCACTGAAGAACAAATCTTAAGATATTAAGGTTACTTACCCTCTGTCGTCTATGAGAGATACAGTACTGTTTCTTTTACTGAATGCGAAACAAGACTTTACTCGAATACCGTAGGTACCTGAAATAAAATACAAATTTTATCATTAATTTCACTTTGATTCTGGAATTAATTTAACTCCAGCTACGAAAATCCAAGAAAACAAACGGGTACCTATTCTTTTTGCAGACGCGACTAGATAAATGTCAGTGAATTTGGACGAGACTACACGGCGAAATTATCTGACAAGACCTTCATCTTGAAGTCATGCTAGTAATGAATCCGTCAACCAAAACTGTGATTTGTAAATAGGAAAGACGTAGGTGATAATTATTAGTGGCTTTGTGTGGGCAAAGTCAATAACCTAACCTGGTACTGCCAGGATATAATCTACGATCGTTGACATAAACATGTTTTTTTTTCATTTCTGTACTGGAGGTAATTTAATTTTACAGTGGTGTTAAATGTGTCTTTAGTATATATAAAATATATTTATTTCCGGAATCTTAAATAAGACAGTTAAGACACGCACTGTTGTTTCAGACACAAAAGTTTTTAGATGTGGGCCAAGACAGTGGTATCTAGTGGTGTCTGACGTGAACTGTTCTTATTTTTATTGTCAGTGAAACTACTATAAAGGCAACATCCATTTTCTAATTGTTAAGTAAGAAAGATTTTAACATCACTTTCTCTTAAAATTAAATTATTTGGTTATTCCGTCAAATCACAATGTATTTAAAATAAGATAATTAAAATAATTAAAATATCATTCTGTGTTCCATATCGAATAATCGATTTACAATTGGAACAGTTACAACATGTTTCGGTTTTATTAAACCATCATCAGGTGTAAAATTATATTAAATTTAAAACTCAATTACAATTTTTTACAATTTTTATGAAAATATCTGGACACGACCTCCAAAACTACACTACGAAAAAATTGTAAAAAATTGTAATTGAGTTTTAAATTTAATATAATTTTACACCTGATGATGGTTTAATAAAACCGAAACATGTTGTAACTGTTCCAATTGTAAATCGATTATTCGATATGGAACACAGAATGATATTTTAATTATTTTAATTATCTTATTTTAAATACATTGTGATTTGACGGAATAAACAAATAATTTAATTTTAATCACTTTCTCTGTAAATATATCTTAATATATAGGTCTACTTTATGGAACAGTCTTTATGGATTCTCGAGGACGGAACTACACGTATTGTCAAGCCGAATAGAAGAGAACGTAAATTTATTATGAAGAATATTGTCAACGTATTAAAAGTTGTATTAAGAAAAATATGAAACTACTACTCATTTAATTTTTACATCGTAATTCAATAATTTTTCTAACTGACATATCGAAAAAAAAAGTTTTATGGGGTGTCTTAATGAGTTGCAAAGAATTTGGGGGGAACGTACTGTCTTCATCTTCACGGACTCTTCAGCGTAGATAAATGGATGTTACTTGATTAGTGTTATGAAACGGGCATTAAAGTTTTTTCAACTAGTTTAATCTTTGACATTTTCATGCCGCGATAAATTCCATGTTATTGAGGCTTTCGGATAGTAAAAATGTTTACCGCGATGTTTTACCACGCTGACACGGAAGTCTCCTAGGCGTCATTGTGTTCCTGAACTTCATGTTTTCTGTAACTCCTGTGTTACTTTTTCCTACTATCGAAATACATCCTCATTTCGCTCTCACATCTCGACCAGTGTACTAATAATCCTTGTATAAAAATAAATTATACCTCAATACGTCTATTAAAACAATTCGCTTGAAGATGAGAGCGGAGAAAACATTTAAAATATCATACTTATTAAGTTTGTGTCAGATATTTGAAAATATACCAATTATAATCACATATTTCTACGTAATTCTTGAGAAATTACTTACCGTCCGGTCTCGATATGTCAGCTCGTAGCGTATAAGGATGGCTGTAGACAGCTTCGTGAATTCTTTTCCCCTTTTCCAGCAATTTTAGGGAAACAAGCGAAGTCTCGTTTCGCGCGTTCTTGAAGCCGGCTTTTCCGCATGTGATGACGTAAAATTTATCGTCTGCCAACTCTAGGGTCTTATGGACCCTAACTGCGATAGGTAAAGATCTTTCTTCAGTTTTCTGAAACAGGATACAAAGAAAGTTAAAAATTACCGTGTTAGAACTCTTCGTACTGTGATTTTTATTTTTATGAAACAATCTATTAAAAAACATATGACATTCGTATGCACACGGTTGTGAAAATCTCGATTAATTTATCCTTGGTTTTGGATTACGCGCGGGATATGGACGTGTGTCGGTACAGTCCCCGTGGATAACGGAAGCCACCTGAATTTCACATTTTTTCGATGGATTCATAGATTATAAGCTACTCCCAGTTGCTTGTCACCCAAAAAACCGTTTGGAGATCTCTGAATTAGTAATTATATCAGCCACTTTTAAAGTACAGAAAATTTAAGGTTTACATGCGTCATGTTTGTGTTTTTTGATTAAAATATATAATAAAATACATCGAAACATGTTGTGAAATGAATGAAAGCGCTCTATTGTAACATCCCTATAGTGATGAATGGCGCAAATTTAAAATTTAAAATTTTAACATTTAAATTTTAAATTTTAACATCTAAATAAAGTTTTGTGTATTGACCTGAATTTTATTATATATTTTAGTACAGAAAATATTAAACTCTGTACGTGTGGTGAGTTTCATATTTTGCGGGCACTTAAACGAGGTATATTGACATTCGAGTAATTTACCTACATGAATAGTAAATTTGATGAAAATTTAAGTAAATAAGTCGAAGTACCTGCCTTGAATATTGTAGAGGGGGGGTGGGGGAGTGTATGAACGATGTGCCGTTATTCGTTTAAAGAATATTTGCACGAGACTAAACAAACACAAGTGTATGAGTGCACTTCTAAAATTAGGTTAGTGTATGCCTGAAAGCAGAACTGTTCGTGACAGTGAATTCTGTCATGGCCACTTACGTCAAACACGTTATTCTCACTAGGAGCAATTATTCTCAAGTTGCATGTGATAAACGAGGTGTGATAATGCTTATACTAGCCACAAGGCGACACTTCACAAGTTTCGTTCCTGCCTTTGATTGCAAAATCGCAAAACGTGTCACAGGTGACGTCACAAATGCATAACAATTTGTACTTGTTTTAAAGGAATGACATACTTAAATGCAAACCACTGTATTTTACTGTGTTCGTATTAATACCGACCTGTTCTGCGTCCGTTCGTTCTCTAGTTATTAAATTAAAACTGTCGGATATAATTTGGTTTTGATAAGATTTGAAATAGTTGGCTTAGGTTTGGTTTCGTTAGTGATGCGCAGAGCACCGTGCGCAGAGGACCGTTATCCCACCTCAGGATTATGTCAGCCTGTCAAGCACCATCTGCGGGTTTTTATACGCGCAGTCTGGAAACTTTCCGATCGCACCTCGTACATCACAACGATAGTATCGACTGTAGGAAATTTCTAAATGCCATTTTTCATTTGTGGCCGATGGCACAACGTCCATACAAAATTTTATGAATTTTTGTTCATTCCTTCTATGTATATTTAATGCGAACAGACGGATGTTACTTGTGTGTGGGTTAGATTGGGCGTGGTTGAGCTATGTTAGGTAGTTATGCGCATGTGCAGTAACTTTGTCATCGTCCTATCACGATGGTAGTACCAAATACAGGAAGTCTGTAGTCTAGCATTCCGGTGCGTCATGTTCATTCTTGTTGGTTCCTGCCACTTTCACATACTCAGTTCACAGTCCATTTCCTTGAGCTACATGTTTCAACTCAATTTGGCCATCATCAGTTTCGAATACCAGCTCTGACTCTCACCGAGTTTCTTATCCATGTAGTTAGTACCGAGGAGAGAGGGTACTTTCCATGGGGTTAAAGCGGTCAGTGCGTGATACTGGCCACTGTTCACCATCTACTACCGAGGTTAAGAAAAAATAGTCTTTAACATGGATTTAGTCATGCAAAGTGTTGACGTTAATTAATTTCTCTGTTTCTGACATTCTACCCCACAGTCAATACTTTTAGTTCATTTTGAACGTTGTGATTACTACTGTCGGGGCCATATTACTTTCTAGCAAGAGTTCCGTAGGTCAACTCGGCACGGCTTGGTCGGTCAACGGAACGGCCAGGTGCCATAATAGCTGTTTAAAAAACATTGAACCTGTTGTCAGTTGTGCTAGTATAAGACTGCACCGTAAAGAGAATTTTGGGTGGGAAAACTGTATTTGGCGGTAAATATATTTATCGCTTTTATAAATATATGTTTATTTATAAAAAATTAAAAATTCGTGTATTATATTAGGAAAATATTCAGTGTATTAAGATTTAGAATAGTTTCAGTTGCGTACTTTGATTGTAAAGTAGTCGATGTTTTTGAAACCGTGTTTTTCACCACTGCGCTAAGAACTAGCAAGTAATCTGGCCGTTAGAGTAATTTCATACCTAAGGTGAGATCACCGTTTCTTAGAAATTTCAGATTTTTTAAATTATTTTATTTGTTTCTTTGTTATATGTTTCATGTATCTTACAAATTAAAAGTGGGTTAATCAGTTTCCTTGTACAAGCTTAAGCCAGCAGTAAATCTCATATCTAAACAATATAAATCCTGGAACGCTGTATAAAAAATGTCTTAAAGCGTAATTGGTGTTGGCGGATTGATTAAAATATCTTCGACTTTGCATTTATTTTTAATGCAGACACACGTGTATGAATACATAAAGAAAGGGATTTTACTTAAAATTAGTTTCACTTTGAAGAAATCAAAAATTCATTGTCTCGCCCGAATTTTCTATTATAATGCAAAGATATTTTAATTTTAATGTTGTTCCTTAAGATGTGACTTTCTTCGCAGTTAATTATTCCTTTTATTTCTTGCATTGTCGCTATTGAAATACGAAGAATGCAGACCTCTCCCTATTTATTTCTGATATTACATTATGTATTTATGGGGATCTTTTGTTCCTGTAGAACAAAGCCTTTTGAATACAACGGCAGAATATCTGATGGCGCCTGCAGCTATGTCGACAAGACCAGAATATGAAATGGTCTGTTAAATGCATCGCTACTCGAGTGTTTACAGGGAAGGTCTCTGTGTGGGGAACGGTCAGCTAGCATTGCGTTCAGAGCATTGTAGAATGGGCGTGGTCACGTTTCATGTATCATTTTGACGAAAATGGAGGAAATTAAATTGTTTTATTCCTCAGTCGAATGTAGTAAATATTATGGTTATCGATGCGTATTATACTCTGTGACAAACATAACCTATAAATTACCTTGAAATACGACTTTATTTATCCATTTTATATTGTCTTCCATTTGTGTAATTCATAATAATGTTTTCATTAGAATATCTGTAATCTATGCTGCTGGTAAAGTGTTATATTTTTATAATAAATGTTTTTCATAAAATAGTGTAGTTGCGTCATATTGTGATTTATTAAATTAAAATTAAATTATTTGGTTATTCCGTCAAATCACAATGTATTTAAAATAAGATAATTAAAATAATTAAAATATCATTCTGTGTTCCATATCGAATAATCGATTTACAATTGGAACAGTTACAACATGTTTCGGTTTTATTAAACCATCATCAGGTGTAAAATTATATTAAATTTAAAACTCAATTACAATTATT